TTGTGGCAACAAATGAGATCTGGAAAATACTCACCTTGCTTGTTGTCAAATTCCTTGGGGTGTGTACTTTCCAAAAATGGGTCATTTGGGGGGGTTTGGTGCTATTCTGGCATTTCAGGGCCTGTGAAATTGTGAAAGGTAGTCAGGAAGTGTAATGAGGAAATAAAGCCCTTTAAAAGCTTGAAGGTGCTTATTGGATTTTGGGGTCTTGCACACAGCTAGACTGCCAAAAAGTCTCACATGTGGTATTTCCATACTGGGGAGAAGTAGCAGAATGCATTTTGGGTGGTCATTCATATACTTATGGCATGTGTGAGCAATAAATCATTTTAGTGACAATTTTGTGTAAGAAAGAAAAATTTTTTTTTAGTCATTTTCCAAAATCTTGTGGTAAAATAATAAATTCTTCTATTGACTCAACATGCCTCTCAGCAAATATTTTGGGGTGTCTACTTTCCAAAAAAGGGGTCATTTGGGGGGGGGGGGGGAGTGATTTTGCACACATGATTTTGCACACCCATGCCACCCTGTAGCAGTATTTCTGCTACAGGGCGGACGGGATGCGGTTAGAGAGGGATATATCTATGTGAAATAACTTTTTACATTGAAATTGCTGGAAAAAAAATGCTTATAGAGAATGTATGCCGAAAAATGTTTTCCTTAATAGGAGACTATGTGCGATGGGGCCCTTTAACAAAATAGCCCCCTTTATCATTAATCACCTTCTCAAAGAGAATTCCTCTATTGCTACAGTATACTTACAGCTATCACAGAAATTAAGTTGGGTGTCGCAAATTATATACACATTTGTTTTATTCAAATGTATTGCCGAATGCTATCTGCATAAATCACTGTGTGGCCAAACAGTGCACGTCTACTATACTATGTCTACAGCTAGAAAATGGTGCTTAATGTTTCTTACATCCAAGTTTACTTAACAAATTCCTAGTTTACACTGAGTTCCATAGCTCAAGCTGACATTTTACATATACAGTGCCTTGAAAAAGTATTCTTACCCCTTGAAAGTTTCCACATTTTGTCATGTTACAACCAAAAACATAAATGTATTTTATTGGGATTTTATGTGATAGACCAACACAAAGTGGCAAATAATTGTAAAGTGGAAGGAAAATGATAAATGGTTTTCAAATATTTTAAAAAATATCTGAAAAGTGTGGCATGCATTTATATTCAGCCCCCTTTACTCTGATACCCCTAACTAAAATCTAGTGGAACCAATTGCCTTCAGAAGTCACCTAATTAGTAATGTGTGTAATTTAACCATTAGCCGCGCGCCCGGCCAATGGCCGTTTGGTGGCTTCAGATGTGTCTCTTCACTCTGGGTGCACGCCATTTGGCGTGCTCCCGCACATGCGCCGTTTGCGCTAATGCAGAGCGGCGCAGCAGTGCGATCTGTCACCGGCTGTGCACCTCGGACACGGCCGATGACAGATCCGAGTACCGGCTCCCGTTGCTGGTACCATGTGACCTGCTGTGACCAATCACAGCAGGTCACATGACAGTTGTATACAATGGATGGCTTCATTCATGATGCCATCCATTGTATACTAGTGCCTAGCTGTGAATGGTCACAGCTAATCACATGCACATGTCATGTGATTAGCTGTGACCAAATCACAGCTAAGCACAAAAAAAAAAAAAAAAAAAAAAAAAAAAGCTGAATTAAATCGATTTAATTCAGGTAAATGCTTGCTTATAGCAAAGTAATTCTTTGCTATAAGCAAATTGTGTAAAAAAAAAAAAAAATAAAAAACAATACTGATCATTTCCCCAAAGTAGTACAATGTTACTATGGTAACATTGTACTATTTTGGTCATAGTAAAATATGAAAAAAAAAATCTTAAAAAAAAAAAAAAAAAAGTAATAAAAAATTAAATATAATAAAAAAATTAAAAAAAATTAAAAAAATATATATTTTTTTTTTTTTTCATACTGTCACCAGTCAGTGTCCCTGTTAACCGCCATGCCAGTTATATGATGATGCTGTACTGCACTGGTGACAGTTTGTAAAATAAAAAATAGTGAAAATAATTTTTTTCAATTTTTTCATTTTCCGAAAAATTATGACAAAAAAATACAACTTCAAAAAACTCGCCATGCCTCTTATGAAGTACGTCGGACTGTCTACTCTGCAAAAAGGGGTCATTTGTGGAATATCTGTACTGTTCTGACATTCTTGGACCTCAAGAAATTAGATTGGCTGTCAGTACTTCAGGATTGATCAATATTCAGATCTATACCATAGTTTGTGAACTCTATAACCTTCCTACAAACTAAAAAATACATCCTAATTTGAGTTATTTTCACCAAAGACATGTAGTAGAATACATCTCGGCCTAAATTTATGAAGAACAATTATTTGTAAACTTTTATAACAGAAACAAAGAAAAAATGTGTTTCTTTTTCAAAAGTTTTGGTCTTTTTTTGTTAATTTAGCAAAAAATAAAAACCCCAGCGGTGATTAAATACCACCAAGAGAAAGCTCTAGTTGTGTGAAGAAAATGATAAAATTTTAGTTTGGGTACAGTGTTGTATGACCGCGCAATTGTCATTCAAAGTGTGAGAGCGCTGAAACCTGAAAAATGGCCTGGGCAGGAAGGTGTAAAATTGCACGGTATTGAAACGGTTAATCTCAGTATACATACAGTTGTTCTGTGAAGCCCTAAGAGGTTTGTTAGAGAACATTAGTGAACAAGCAGCATCATGAAAGCCAACGAATTCACCAGGGATAAAGTTGTGGAGGTGTTTAAAGCAGGGTTAGATTATGAAAAAATATCCCAAGCTTTGAACATCTCACGGAGCATTGTTCAATCTATCATTCGAAAATGGAAAGGGTATGGCACGACTGAAAACCTACCAAGACATGGCCGTCCACCTAAACTGACAGGCCGGACAAGGAGAGCGTTAATCAGAGAAGCAGCCAAGAGGCCCATGGTAACTCTGGAGGAGCTGCAGAGATCCACAGCTCAGGTGGGAGAAGCTGTCTACAGGACAACTATTAGTTGTGCACTCCACAAATCTGGCCTTTATGGAAGGGTGGCAAGAAGAAGGCCATTGGTGAAAGAAAGCCATAAGAAGTCCCGTTTGCAGTTTGTGAGTAGACATGTGGGGGACACAACAAATGTGGAAGAAGGTACTCTGGTCAGATGAGCCCAGAATTTAACTTTTTGGACTAAAAGCAAAACAGTATATGTGGGGGAAAACTAACACTGCACATCACCCTGAACATACCATCCTTACTGTGAAACATGGTGGTGGCAGCATCATGTTGTGGGGATGCTTTTCTTCAGCAGAGACAGGGAAGGTGTCAGAGTTGATGGGAAGATGGATGGAGCCAAATACAGGGCAATCTTAAAAGAAAACCTGTTAGAGTCTGCAAAAGACTTGAGACTGGGGAGGAGGTTCACCTTCCAGTAGGACAATGACCCTAAACATACAGTCAAAGCTAAAATTAAATGATTAAGATCAGGGGGTCTCCAAACTTTCTAAACAAAGTGCCAGTTTACTGTCCTTCAGACTTAAGGGGGGCTGACCTGTGGCCATTGGGAGTAGAAAGGTCCCATTGTCAGTGGGAATAAACAGCTCCCCATCATTGGTGTCATTGGAAGGAATTGTGCCGCATCATTGGTGTCATTGGGCCACATCATTGGTATCATTGGGAATAAGTATGCCCCATTATTAGTGTCATTGGGCCCCATTATTGGTGTCATTGTTAGGAATTGTACCCAATCACTGGTGTCTTTGGGAAGTATTCTGCCCATTCATTGGTGTCCGTAGGGGGAATTATGCCCCATTGTTTGGTACCAGTGGATGAAAATAGTGCCCCAAGGGCCAGATAAAAGCAAGCAAAGGACCACATTTGGCCCCCGGGCTGCAGTTTGGAGACCACTGGTTTAGATCAAAGCATATTCATGTATTAGAATGGCCCAGTCATAGTCCAGACCTAAATCCAACTGAGAATCTGTGGCAAAACTACTGTTTACAGACGCTCTCCATCCAATCTGACAGAGCTTGAGCTATTTTGCAAAGAAGAATGGGCAAATATTTCACTTACTAGATGTGCAAAGCTGGTAGAGACATCCCCAAAAAAGACTTGCAGCTGTAATTGCAGCGAAAGGTGGTTCTACAAAGTATTGACTCGAGGGGGCTGAATACAAATGCACGCCACACTTTTCAGATATTTGTAAAAAAAAAAATGTTGAAAACCATTTATCATTTTCCTTCCACTTCACAATTATGTGCCACTTTTTGTTGGTCTTTGACATAAAATTTCAATAAAATACATTTATGTTTTTGGTTGTAACAAGACAAAATGTGGAAAATTTCAAGGGGTATGAATACCTTTTCAAGGCTCTGTATGCAGAGGAGTAACAACTCTAATAGCTTTGATACATCTATGTGAACTGTTTTAGTAAAAATTGCTGAAAAAATATTTAATACAAAGTACACACACCAAATTCAGCTGATCCATGCAATATAACTTTCTGTGAACCAAAATAAGGTGCAAACACATTAGTGAAATCCTGATTTACACCAATATTTGTTTTTAGTTTGTGTGTTCACTTTGCAAGATAAGAGAATGGATATCGGTATGGACATGTTCACTGGAGCATAGAAGCCTTGAACCTGCTGGGGCAAGGTGACACGCTATTTAGGGAGACAATGGGACAATGTGAAAACCACTGACACCACACTATGCGCTGTACTTGTGCATTGAATATTAATACTTCATTCCAATACTACTTATTTTATTTTTGGTATAATTTTTCTTTAGCTCCAGCTTTCTGTTGGTTGAACTGGATGGACTTGGGTCTTTTTTTCAACCAGATTAACTATGCAACTATGTAAAATACCTCTATTCTTGCTATGCTACATCATTAATTCAGCTACGATGACATCTCAGCTATCAAAATGCATCAGAGATGTCTCCAACACAAATATCATAAAATAAATAAATATAATAAAATAAAACACACACCTCCATACTAGAATTAAAAGCTCGGTTCACTTTTGTCTTTAAGTTAACAACTTGTCCCACGCTAAAAAAAAAAAAAAAAAAAAAAACTGTAATTAGGTTGAAATATGCTCGTTGATGGGCTTATCTTTTAAAATGGCAAAAGTAGACTTGCCAGCTTAAAACTTAAGCTGATTATATATCAGTAGAATTTTGTTTCAATATTTTGATTTTCAGAATATTCATTATATTTTCTACTGGTTAAGGGGTCAAATTGACAGTCGTTTTTGACAATAATGAAGAGAAAATTCGAAAGGAGCAGGATGGAGAATTTTTCTCCATTGCATACAATTCTAAGCATGAATGTGGTTTTCATTTGGAAAATTGAACATGTTGTAATGTTTAAGTGCAAGACACAACAGCAACCTGGGATTCCATTCAAGTAGCAGGTCTGGATGAAATTTTAATGGCTTTCTATCTAAATTAGTCACCTCAGTAATGGCAAGATGGAATGATCCAACAAATGATTTTTCAGACTTTGCATACAAAAAAATTCTACTGGCTGAAAGCTGACATTTGCCTAGTGCAACTACCGACAGCTCAGATTGGTTAGATACTTTAGGGTCAGTCACAAAGGCTTAAGACCTGTCTAAGGCTGGCCATAGACTGGCCGTTTATTGGCTGATTTGTCGGCCGATAAACGAAAAAATCGGTAGTTGCTGCCATGGATGCTGCCACCAATGCTCACGAAAAATGCAGCATGACCGATAAAAAGAAATGAGAAGATCCGCAAAGGCAGCTGATGGCATTGCCCCACTAACGGCATGAATATTGGCAGATTTTTCGTTCGGACGAAAATTCGGCCGATAAACGACCCGTCTATGGCCTGCATAAGGCACTCTATTTTCAGCCATGTGACTGTAAAACCTGCTATATTTGTTTTGTGAATTGAACCTATTGTTTTAAGATAAGTGAACGGTCTACAATAAGATTCCCTCTCATACACTTGTTCTACTTCCCATGCAAGGCCCCATCAGTTATCCAGGCGCCCCTCTCACTGAGTCAAAGGTATAGGCAAGCAGGTATATAAATTCATGGTCATTGCACAGCTCTTGGAGGTCACTGATAGTCTTCACAATGAGCAGGCGCTGGGGGTCACCTAGCCACTGTACCACCAATGAGCAGATGACAGATTTAAAGTAAATGTAAAGTAAAGTGTAAATGTCTTTTTACCTTAACCCATTCTCTGTCATCAGGTAAAAAAATGCCCCACTACCTGTCCTATCTGCCTCCCCCTTCATCTCTAAACACTTACCTATCTCCATGTCACCACTTCATCAGTGTCTCCAGCAACAGCATCGCTCACCTCACTTCCTAATTTTACAGCATAAAAACTGAGGGAACTGACCCCTGCAGCTGTCAAGTCACTGTGTGTGTCTATGGATGCACACAGCTTGGCACAGGACCCATTGAGAACTACAGGAGGCACTCGAAGGAGAGTGCTGACAGGGATTGTGAGAAGAGTAAAATATCTTTTTGTGCAATATTGTTGCATGGATTAGGAGTTATCTTTTTTTTTATGTTTAAAAAAAATTACTTTATTGTCACTTTAAGGTTTACAGACAGAGCTGGGATGAGGGGTAGGCAAAAAAGGCAGTCATTGTATTTACTTTTATTAATGAAACAAAATGAAATGTCATTACCTGATGGTATGCTCAAAGTAGATGTCATCCATAGAGGCAGTGACACAGGGACAGCCAGCATGGCGTTCAGCTGAAAGACCAGAACACAACACTTGTGCTAGGACAGTTCCTCTCAATGTACAGTACTGTGTGTATCCAAAACAGCATTAATTACAGATTTGATTGAAATGCCACCTTCTGGTGAAATCTGGTAGTTCAGTACAAAACACAACGCTTTTCTACAATGGTCAGATTTAGGGCCTGAGAAGTAATGTAAGCAAAATTTGGATCGAGACACAATTATTTGGATTTACAGGTTTCCAGGAAAGGCCTTAAGAACTTTATTTAAACGCAGAACTAAAATCAAAACTTTTTCTCTATTTCATACAATCCCGGGGCACCTTCATATTCATTATGGTAGGGTTATATCACCACCTTCAGGTGGACACCTGCACAAAAAAAAAGTCCCCTCCCAGATATAACCCCTCCCCATTGGGCAAGGCTACAGTGTTTTTTTGCTAGTGTCTGAAGGCGATAGTCATGTCTGTTCAGCTCTCTGCACAAAAATAGCTAGCTTCTCAACATTTGCAGCTAGGATTATGAGATTTGCTTTATACAGATCCATGTTCTATGGGTTTTCAATGTTTAGAGCAGTGGTACCTGGACTCCACACTAGACGCGTGGGGACGGCCTTTAACATTGCCAGTCAGCACTGGACCCTGTGTTACGGACCCTTTGCAGTGTTATATTTCCTTATGAATAGCTAGGGTGCTATATAGGGTCAGAGTTGTGATCCCCTGCAGGGCAGTTGAGTCCCTGAAGGTCCTTGTAGCAAAGCCTGAGCTGATAAGTGAAGATTGGACTGCCCCCCCCCTCCCCCCCAGTGGGAACAGGTCTTGGGTCCTTTCATTTTCAGGATCTGATTATGATGCAGGCAGCAGCAAGGGTCCCATATTTGGATCTTCTGTCCAGCTTTTCATTGAACCTGGATGCCAGGTTTGTATTCAGGACTAGGAATCCTTGAACACTCATGGTGGTTGCCATGGTGACACTATGGGACCAGTTCTCACTAATCTTTGCCATCCTGCCTTTCAGCTTTTACCTCATCTGCTTTGCAAGGATTCCAATGGAAGACATTCTGGTGATTCTGATCATCCCAGCCTAGCCCAGGAAGACTTGGTATTCTAACATGATGAACATGTCATCAAACAAACCCTTAAACTCTTTCCAACCCTTCTGACCTACTGTCAGAATTTCTGATCTGCCATCCTTCTTACAGTTGCTGGCATGGTTGTTGAAACCAGGATCCTAAGGGACAGGGGTGTTTCAGATTTGGTAATTCCTTCCCTGCTTAAGGCTAGAAAGGCAACTTCCAGGAAGGTTTACAATAAGACTTGGAAGGCTTATTTTTCCTGGTGTGAGACTCGGGGGTTTCTCCCTCACAAGTTTGTGGTTGCCTTATTCTTGCTCATCTTCACTCAGGAGTTGACCAGGGACTGGCCTCGAGTATGATCAAAGGTCAAATTTAATTTTTAGTGGCCCTGTTTCAGAGACAGATTGCCTTACACTCTTTGGTGTGGGCCTTTGAACAAGGCATTATGCACACTGTTCCAGCAATTAACACTTCACTGATGCTGTCGGACCTCAACCTGGTACTTTCAGTTTTGCAGAAATCTCCATTTGAACCCACCAATGTTTCTTTAGCCCTTCTGACTTGGAAGTTTATTTTTCCGGTTGCTGTTATTTTGGCTCACAGAGTTTCAGAATTGGCTGCTCTATCCTGTAAGGGCCCATTTCTGGCACTCCGCCGTGAAAAGGTACTCACAGCCTCACCAGTTCTTTATGCCTAAAGTGGTTTCATTGTTCTGTCTCATCCAGAATATTGTACTAAGCCTTAGACACTAGCGGACAAGGCTCTTCACAGCTTGGATGTGGTTCGTGCTATCAGGTGCTACCTGACGTTGACGGCTGCTATTCGAAAGTCAAATTCCCTCTTTGAGCTTCCTCGGGGCACAAGGAATGCGGCATCCAAATCTACCATTTCTCGATAGATTCATCGGTATATTTCTCAAGATTATGCCTTAAAGGTAAGGTTCCACCTTTTCCTTTGAAAGCCCATTCTACTAGAGTGTTGGTGCCTCCTGGGATACTCATCATCAGCTTTCGGTAGCTCATGTTTGTAAAGGTGCTACCTGGTCTTCAGTGCAAGTGTTACCAAGTGAACGCAAATGCCTCTAAGGATGCTACCTCTGGTCAGTGCGGTGTGCAGGCTGCTGCATAAGGTTCTTACTTATTTGGGTTGGTGGTTTGTTGCTGTGCTGCTCTCCCATCACGATCAATGGTTTGGGACATCCCTATCGAAATGAATATGAAGATGCAATGTGTCCTGAGATGTACAAGAAAGGCTTTTGGTTTATTTATAAAATCCTTTTCTTGGAGTACATCATGGGACACAGTGATCCCACCCCTCTTCCTTTTTTGGTTTATGGCGTACTACAAAAACTGGAGCTTTGCCTAAATATCATAATGAATGTGAAGGTGCTCCGTGTCACATGATGTTCTCCAAGAAAAAGGATTTTACAGGTAAACAATAAAAGCATCTTTTTCCCCATTTTGGAGGTTTTAAAACCCTAGGTATAACAGGGGCACGGACAGCACTACAAACCTTATAGGTGTCCTAAGCCCTCTCCATTATCTAAAACTAAAAAAAAGTTTTGCCTTTAGTTATACTTCAACTCAGAACAGCCCTATGTAAGCAAAAACCTATGTTATAACAACTCTCACCTGACAGGCAGGCCGCAGTATCTATCCATTTCAGCAGTTGCCCGGTACTGAGTTGCCCACGGTGGTTGGCATGACATGGTAGGACCATCTGGCTCATGCGCACCTCTGTTGGGTTTCGCCTGTCTCCATTGTTGCTTGCCATGGCACGGCAGGCTGGGACCTTTAACAAAAGCCAGATTTAGTACATCTGCTAATACTGAAGTGTAACAAATGTCTAATGTTTAAAGATCGTTGGTAAATATACAGTGTACCATTATAATTTGCTACAGGTTCTAAACATTTTGTTGAGGTGGGGGGGCTTCAGAAAAACAAGTTTATATGTCATATGCCACAATCAACAGTCAAGGTCTCCCTGTGTAGGAATATAGTGGTCAAGGGGAAAGTGGGGCTGATTTCCAAAGTTTGAGCATATATGGGGCATTTGCTCATAGCAACAGATCAGGATTTACCTAAGGGTGAAAATCTAATTGCTAGGAACAACATTTCCAGTTTTCATGCTGTATATGAACCCCAATGTGAGGCAATGAGGGTTTAGGGCAGAATTGTGTATGATTTTACCAATTCTAGTGAAGTCTTCCCAGCAAGGAAAGAGATTGAAAGAGAAGCCTGGCAGAGATTCCATTTCCCCCTCCAAATCCAGACTTTGAAAAAATTTCATGCCTGGTTACCTATAATTGATGTTGTCTGATGGTCTCGCTGTACAGTGGCACATAAGAGTTGTTTGGGTGTCATTCATCAAATAGGTGGAATTTTGTGTTGTGCAGCAACCGATCAGATTCCAGCTGTCACTTTTAGAACATGGCCGGATGAAATTTGTTAGTATAGACTAGGGGTCTCCAAACTTTTTAAAGTAAGGGACAATTTACTGTCCTTCAGATAAGGGGGCTGGATTGTGGTCATTGCAAGTACACAATTACTGCTTGGCTTGTTGGTCAGTTACCTAGCACCTCTGGTCAAAGGAGGAATATTGTCCCATTGTTGGTGTCAATGGGAGGAACCGTGCCCCATCATTTATATCAATGGAAGGAATAGTTTCCCATTGTTGGTGGTAATGGAAGGTACAGAGTCCCATTTTTGGTGTCAGTGGGATGAATAGTGCCAGATAATTGGTGTCAGTGGAAGGAATAGTGTGCCTATTGAACAGTGACTAGTGAAACACTTCTGTAGGTTCCCTCATTCATTCAACCACCCATCTGATGTCCTCCCTTGGTGGGTTTGGTGTGGTCCTATCATCCCTGTTCCCATCCCCACAACTGATTTCGGGACCTCCTGCAGTTTGCCATGCCTGTGTGAGCATATACTTCTCTGCACAGATTGTCATATGGTCTACTACATGATATACAGTCAGGTCCATAAATATTGGGACATCGACACAATTCTAACATTTTTGGCTCTATACACCCCCACAATGGATTTAAAATGAAATGAACAAGACGTGCTTTAACTGCAGACTGTCAGCTTTAATTTGAGGGTATTTACATCCAAATCAGGTGAACAGTGTAGGAATTACAACAGTTTGCATATGTGCCTCCCACTTAAGGGACCAAAAGTAATGGGACAATTGGCTTCTCAGCTGTTCCATGGCCAGGTGTGTGTTATTCCCTCATTATCCCAATTACAATGAGCAGATAAAAGGTCCAGAGTTCATTTCAAGTGTGCTATTTGCATTTGGAATCTGTTGCTGTCAACTCTTAAGATGAGATCCAAAGAGCTGTCATTATCAGTAAAGCAAGCCATCATTAGGCTGAAAAAACAAAACAAACCCATCAGAGAGATAGCAAAAACATTAGGCGTGGCCAAAACAACTGTTTGGAACATTCTTAAAAAGAAGGAACGCACCGGTGAGCTCAGCAACACCAAAAGACCCGGAAGACCACGGAAACAACTGTGGTGGATGACCAAAGAATTCTTTCCCTGGTGAAGAAAACACCCTTCACAACAGTTGACCAGATCAAGAACACTCTCCAGGAGGTGCGTGTATCTGTGTCAAAGTCAACAATCAAGAGAAGACTTCACCAGAGTGAATACAGAGGGTTCCCCACAAGATGTAAACCATTGGTGAGCCTCAAAAACAAGAAGGCCAGATTAGAGTTTGCCAAACGACATCTAAAAAAGCCTTCACAGTTCTGGAACAACATCCTATGGACAGATGAGACCAAGATCAACTTGTACCAGAGTGATGGGAAGAGAAGAGTATGGAGAAGGAAAGGAACTGCTCATGATCCTAAGCATACCACCTCATCAGTGAAGCATGGTGGTGGTAGTGTCATGGCGTGGGCATGTATGGCTGCCAATGGAACTGGTTCTCTTGTATTTACTGATGATGTGGCTGCTGACAAAAGCAGCAGGATGAATTCTGAAGTGTTTCGGGCAATATTATCTGCTCATATTCAGCCAAATGCTTCAGAACTCATTGGACGCCACTTCACAGTGCAGATGGACAATGACCCAAAGCATACTGCAAAAGCAACCAAAGAGTTTTTTAAGGGAAAGAAGTGGAATGTTATGCAATAGCCAAGTCAATCACCTGACCTGAATCCGATTGAGCATGCATTTCACTTGCTGAAGACAAAACTGAAGGGAAAATGCCCCAAGAACAAGCAGGAACTGAAGACAGTTGCAGTAGAGGCCTGGCAGAGCATCTCCAGGGATGAAACCCAGCATCTGGTGATATCTATGCGTTCCAAACTTCGGCCTGCAATTGACTGCAAAGGATTTGCAACCAAGTATTAAAAAGTGAAAGTTTGATTTATGATTATTATTCTGTCCCATTACTTTTGGTCCCTTAACAAGTGGGAGGCACATATGCAAACTGTTGTAATTCCTACACCGTTCACCTGATTTGGATGTAAATACCCTCAAATTAAAGCTGACAGTCTGCAGTTAAAGCACATCTTGTTCGTTTCATTTCAAATCCATTGTGGTTGTGTTTAGAGCCAAAAATGTTAGAATTGTGTCGATGTCCCAATATTTATAGACCTGACTGTATGTTTAATATCACTAATGCTATGTTACTATCATATACTGTATATTCTCTTTCATATACAATGATGCCCTCTCAATACACTGGGTCCTGAAGAAGCCATAATTAGGTGAAACGCAGTGACCCTGACCTTTAGACAGGAACAGCATAACTATTATACTTACACTGTACCAATTGTGGATATTAAATCCAACAATAAATGAATAGTGCTTAAGGCAACATATGTTACTGTACAATATAATATGTGTGCTAAAATGCCCCAGATGTGGACAGCTGTGATTGGTGGTAAAACCTCTGCTCTGTAGCACTAGGGTCCTGGGTGCAGTTCCTGGACTTTAATCCTTCAGCCAAAGAATTCACTGGAAGGTTAATGGACTTACACCCAGATTAGCCCTATAGTGTGTCTGCAGGACGGTGGTAGGAAAATTAAATTGTAAACTACCTCAGGTGCAGGTACAGAACATTTATTGTTCTCTTTAAACAGCTTAGGAATACGTTGGTGCAATCAATACAAATGAAATTGCAGAAAAGAAGTCAGTTATGTATATAATAGGAACATTTTCAAGACAAAATCAGGAACATTCATGGTAAATTAAGGCCCATTTTGTTCATTAAGGCTCTATTCACACCTGAGTGTTTTGTAGATTGAAGCTCCACAACACTCAACATCCAAAACCACATGTATTCCAATCGTGCCGGTTCACTCCGGAGTGTAGTGTCGCCTGAAGTTTGCAGCTCTGAAAAGTACATGAGCATCTTTCGAACTAAAAGCTTCAAATGTTTTTGGCCCCAGCAGATGTCAATGGAAACACCTCAAAAACACTCTACACTTGCATAAAAAAGGAAAAAAAAAAAAAAAAAAAAAGAGTGCAAAATCGCACATATTGTTTGTTTCTTTTCCTTAGTAACTAGCTTTTCATTGGCTAAAAATAACTGGGGTTTTTTTGCCTTCCTCTGGATCAGCTGTGTGTATAGGATTATAACTTTTTTTTTAATGGTTGAACTGGATGGACTTTTGTCTTTTTTTCAGCCAGACTAACTATGTAACTGAAAAATCACTTAATCCTCATGTAGGTGGGGCCAAGATAATCTTCCTCATATGTTGCATCTTTGGGTACCACCAACAGGCTTCCTGCCTAAATCCTCATTAGTGTGGGCCCCACTTCCAGAGGGAGCAATAGAGTATTCTGTATATCATAATGTGCACAAGCCCCTTGACATGACACATCACCCTGCTCCATAACCCCCCTCCCCCGGCTGAACCAGGAACCAGTTTCGGCAAAGACCACCATTAAAAATAAGAGACAAGTCCAACTTGCTTTTCAACACTTTACTTGCTAAAGTGTAACGGCAGGGCATTCACATTCTTGTCAAATTCCAGAGGTGGCCATCAGCATAATCCCCTGTAATGGGCCGCCCTTCAACCTGTCCCTAAAGCTAAACCCAACTGAGGGAACCTGGTCCCCAGGCACTGCCCAGCCGGGGAATGCCACTTGCTTTGAAGACTACATAGCTTCCAGGAGGGCCCCGCCAAGTCTGGTGGGGCCAGACCCAAATTCTTCTTCTTCGTTCTACTAACTCTACACCCAAGCTCCTCTAATTCCTATGAAACCCAACTATATATAATAGTGGCAGAAACAGAACGCCCCTTCTAAGACCCCCTTACACTCAGATGCTCACAAAATCACCTGTACAAATGATAAAAAAAACCCTTCAAAACGATGCTTAAGCTTAGCTCAAGCGTGAAAACCGCATTATTGTCATGTGTACGTAAAACTGCACTATTCTATCATACTTTTCCTTACTTATTCTTAGAACTTTCAAATAAAACTTTACAAACAAGAAAAACTTGGGACAAAATTAACTCCAGGGACACTGTACAGAATACAGCGCTGTGTACCGGAAGTGGTACAGGGACTTCCCATCATGCTCCTGGCACAAAATTGATTTGGGGTGAACACTGCTCAACCATTCAAAGGAAGTTTAGCATTTTATGAATGAATACAAGGCATCCTCTGTTGGCTGAGGTGGAGATTATGATGTCATCCGCATGCCTTTCCACCTCAGCCAATCAGAGGAAGCATTGTATTCATTCATAAAATGGCTGAGCAGTTGCGGCTACACACATTTTATACAATTCTCACAGCATTTTTTCCACA